CTCGGAAACCCTGTACAGGGTCGCTATGGGTCAGAACTGACTCGATGGCACTTAACAACAACAACAACAACAACAGTATAGTAGCATGACGTTCCCTTATCCACACCTTTGTTGTTGTTGTTGATGATGTTAAGTGCCATCAAGTTGGTTTCAACTCATGGTGACTTTGTATATGGTTTCCAAGGAGTGGCTGGTGAGTTTGAACCACCAACTTTGTGGTTCAACTCCACCTTGCGTACAGTGCTTTATCCCAGAGTGCCACTTATTAGCTACCATCAAGGCAGCCCCTTGACTCATGATAGTTCCATGCACAATAAAACAGAATGCTGTTCAGGTCTGTTCCATCTCCATAATTGGTTGCAATCAGACCAGTGTGATTCAGAGAGTTTTCGCTGGCTGATTTTCAGAAGTAGATTGCCAGACCTTTCTTTCTACTCTATCTTAATCTGAATACTGAAATGTGTTCAGCATATAGCAATGCATAAGCCACTTGTGACAGATAGGTAGTGGCTGTCCATGTCTCCTGCATAGTCTGACAAGAATTCTACCAAAGAATCACCCTTTCTTTGGGCGTTATGAGTAATGGTTGTCCACTTGGCTCCATTAAAATATTTCAGGTTTCATCTTCTTGTGACAAAATCTTTTTGTTCAGTGTGGTCCAACAAATATTTCCGTAAAATTCGCACAAGATATGATATCACTGTGCCTACATCTTATTTCAATTAATTCATTCTGCAACTACCATGTCCTACGTTATAAGATTCAAAATGAATGTGAAAGTAGGTATGTACTTGTCATGTTGGTGGGATTGTCATTTTATTAGTGATTTTTAAAATGCTAAAATTTGTCCAAGTGCTAATTTTCTAAGACATCAGATAAAATGGTACTCTTAAATTTAGACACTTGAAGGGAGAAGTATAAAATTATATTGTTTGTCTAACAATTTGATTGGCTTTAAAATGCCAAAGTAGTTTGACAGCCTTAATATCTGAAGTCCTTGTTTGATGGTAATCCCAGCAGTATTCTGGTGATAAGATTTTAGTGGGTTTATGGAGAAAGAAATACTTGTTTAAATGTCTTTCATCATGCCACATGGCTTCAATGTTATTTTCCTTGTCCTTCATGATTCCTTTTAAGCACTCCCTGACAATATTTAGAACCTGAAGTGGAGTGCCACCAAAAACAACAGCATGGTAATAAAAATCTCCCTTACCTCCAGGTATATATGCTGCTGATGACGGATTTCTTTCGTAAGGGACTGTTGTAATATTTGCCTGATACCAATAAGTATGCAACTGAGCTACTGACTGACCCAGAGTTTCTAATCCATATTGGCTTTTGAAGTATTGGTCCACATCCGTGCAAAAGAGGAAGTCAACTTCATATTGGATGTGATCTATAATGGGCTCATTGATGGTCTTCATGCGCATCATACTGATATCTTGCCATCTCTTCTCTTGTTTAACTTCAAAAACTTTGAGTGTACAGTGGGGACGCACATGTATCCAAGGCATCTTGGAGAAGTCATCTATCATGGCATAGAATATGACTTTTTGGCCGACCATAAAATATTTATCAGCAGATAACACAAATCTAGACAAATAGAACTCAATGTATCTGTGAAGGAAATAAAAAATGATTAAGTTCATCTCTTTCTGTTTTAGTGGAACACACATTATTTAAATTATGCTGAATGGACTTTATCTAACAATGCTACTAGGCAACCAAATATGAAATGTGTTTCTTGAGTTGTATTTTACAATGGCAGAAAGTAAAATTAGCTGCCTTTCCTCTCCCTGATACGATTCTACAGAGGAATACCTAATAAGAGAGAATTAAAATTTGTTGAAATCAGGAAACTGAGCAGAGCCCAGACCCAAGTGAGGGCCAAGATTTTCAGAATTATCAGAGTCAGGGGACTTGTTTTGGAGGTTGTAGGTAAAAAGGAGGAGTTACTGTTGTATGCAGCTGCCTTGAGTAATCAGTTGTGCATAAAAAGCCAAGGTTTATGGTGAGTGCTCCGCTGTCTCTCTTATTTTCATTGAAATTGATGTTGTTGTTGAGAATATAGGTAGCAGAGCATACACCAACTTAACAATTTCTGTAAGTACAATTCAAAGAGTTCTGGTACCATAGTGGTTATGAATTAGGCTGCTAACCTCTAAATTAACAGTTTGAAACTACTAGCCGTTCTGTAGATGAAGTTTTCTGCTCCCGTAAAGATTACAGCCTCAGAAACTATAAGTCGGAATCAACTCCATGGCACACCACCACCACCACCACCATAAGTACAATTCAGTGACACTACATTCTTTCACCCCCCTTTTCCTAATTGTTCCTCCTCTATTAATACACATTCACCGCTCCCTTTCTTTCTTGTTTTCTCTTGTGGTCCTTGTCATGGATTCGCAGAATCGCCCACAAGCCTATAGCCTAGGTCGTTGTTGTTGTTGTTGTTGTTCAGTGCCATCATGTTGGTTCCAACTCGTAGCAACCCTGTATCGCAGTGGTGGGGAACATCTGCTGAATATGGCCTGTGAAATCATTTGGTCTGGCCCTGCCAAGGCAATCGCAGTTCCAGCCATCACGTTTGTGGTGAGTTAATGAAATGCTTGATCAAATATAGCAGGCTAAGTTTTAAGTTGATAATTTTGTATGGCCCATGAATTCTGTTATAAATATCCAAATGCCCCTTGACAGAAAAAAAGAATTCCCCACCCCTGCTGTATAGGGTTTCCAAAGAGCGGCTGGTGAATTTAAACTGCTGACCTTGCTGTTCAAACCGACCTTGCAGTCCAGTGCTTTACCCCGCAGTGCCATACCAGGACTCCTATATATACATAGTTGTTGTTGTTAAGTGCCATTGAATTGGTACCGACACAAACAATCCTGTATAAGGTTATACACTATATTGTGGTTGTTATTGAATGCCGTTGAGTCAGTCCCGACCCATAATGACCCTGTATAGGGTTTCCAAGGAGTGACTGGTGAGCTTGAACCACTCACCTTGAGATTCAAATAACTTTACAGTCCAGTGCATTAACCCATAGTGCCACACCAGGACTCTCTCTATATAACTATAGCTATAACTGTAACTATAACTATATATATTTATATATATATATGCTGTTGTCATTGTTGTTAAGTGCCATCTAGTCAGTTCTGACCCATAGTTACTGGTGGGTTTAAACTGTCAACCTTGTGGTTCAAACTGATCTTATAGTCCATATATATGTTGACTCCTGCTATGGAGCTATAAGATCAGCACTGGACTGTAAGCCACAAGGTCGGCAGTTCAAATCCACCATCTACTCCTTGGAAACCCTGTACAGTATACAGGATCACTATGAGTTAGAATTGACTCGACAGCACTTAACAACTAGATAGATAGATAAATAGATAGAAACAGATATAACTGATAAAGCATAGGGCCAGTGAAAACAAAATAAAGGTAACCCTATATGAGATGGGTTGACACAATAGTTACAACAAACCAACAATTGTGAGGATGGCAGAGGAGTAGGCAAGGTTTAGTTCTGCTGTACATAATGTTGTCCTGAGCCCTATCCAACTTGATGGCAACTAACAACAACAGCATATAGGGGTGTGTGTGTATATATATATATATGAGTTGGAACTGTGTATATGTATATAAAACAACAACAGCATATATGTATATATAGAGATATATATATGCATGCATATATATAGATATAGTTATAGATATGCACATATTTGCTGTTGTTGTTATTAAGCATCTTCTAGTCAGTTCCAACTTATAGTGACCCTGTGCAGGGTTTTCAAGGAGCGGCTGGTGGGTTTGAACCACCGACCTTGCAGTTCAAACAGACCTTGTGGCCCAGTGCTTATCCTACAGCACCACAGCAGGACTCCAATTCCCTATTAAGTCACAATATTTGCCTGCTTATAATTTGTTGGTCAGTTATGATTATAGCATATTTTCCCATTGCTCTTTAATCCTCCTTTTTCTTTATTTTCTTGAGAAATATGATATATTCTTAAGTTAACACTCATCACATAACTTAAAACTGAGCAATAAACTTCCTTTAATACTTGGGGCTATTTTTCATTCCACATTGGTCCCCTATGCTTATCACAGATGTGCCCAGTGAGAAAACCTTCAAAACACCTCCTGGGTCTTTTTAACATAGTGGTCTCATTTTTTAAAGTCTTTTGCATTTTCTGGCACAATAAGATACCCCAGGCTAACATTGCTTTTTCCATGTCCCAGTCCAAGAAATAGCATTTCCCCCAAAGAATCCTGGTTACTTTTAGTATAGAAAGATCTTTAGAAACCAAGAGAAGTCATTGTTCTGAGTCCTTTTAGTGACATAGAAAAGCTTCCCTGAGACTGCTGTTTGTAGTTAATTGCCAGCGAGTCGGTTACAACTCATAGCAACCCTGTATAGGGTTTTCAATGAGTGGCTGGTGAATTTGAACTGCCAACCTTGTGGTTAGCAGTCCTGTGCTTATCCTACAGGACCACACAACACTTGTTATTTTTGATGATAGAAAAGATAGCATTAAATGTGGGTTAAGGGCACACAGCTTGACCAAGTAAGAGGGATCACTAAGAAGTGTTCAACAGTAAAGGACATTTTTGGTGAAGGATATGACACATGTAATTTTTGCAATGAACAAATATATGTGTGTGGTTACATAAATATGTACAGGTAGTCCCTGACTTACAGTGGAATTCCGTTCTGATGACCCTGCTATAACTCAATTCTGATGCAAACTGAACACTTCTTTCTCACTCTTTTTTTTCTCTTCATTTTCATTCTTGTCTGCTGGACTGCAGTGTTTTGAAGAGTAAATCATAACATTGAACATTTGGGAGAGAACATCTGAGAATGACAATAGCAGATTATGTGCTGCAACTTGTATGTAATACATGTTACTAATGATAAGCTGTATAAAGAAATAATAATAGCAACAGGTGGTTGTAAGTGCAGCTAGACCAAACTCAAATACATCGTACATCAAGGGACTGACTGGACATAGGCAGGTATGGGTATAGTTATTAATATGTGGGTACATACGTATGCACAGATAGATGTACATACAGGTATACATGTGCATGCATGCATATATATATGTTTGGACTCCTGGTGTGGCACTATGGGATAAGCACTGGAGTGCAAATCACAAGACTGACAGTTCAAATCCACTAGCTATTCCTTGAAAACCCTATACAGGGTCTCTGTGAATTGGAAATAACTCGATGGCACTTAACAACAACAACAATACATAGACATATCCCTAGAAACCACAGAGGGATACATGTACATATATATATATATGACACCACAGAGGGGACACAGTTTCAGATATGTCTTAAACTTAATCAAACACCTTGCAAGATTGGTTTACTAGGTTTGAAGGCTCAGGACAACAATCTTGTGGAGCAACTCAATTAATTGGTATAATTTAAAATATATATGTTCAACATCCCATAATAGTGTCTGGGGTCTTCAAACCTTGCAAGCGGTTTCTTAAAACTGTTAGTTTCTACTTGTCCCGAACAAAAGAGCAAAAAGGAAACTAAAGACTCTGAGAAGAAAGTTGTCTTCAGAACTAATGGTTTACTTGAACCTTGTCCTAAAAATATGACTGGGGAAGAACTACCTCCTCAAAGTTGATCTTAATGGT